TGCCTGCTTCGCAAGCACAAGGACCCGAGTTCAATCCCTGGTACCAAAAAAAAAAAAAAAAAAAGAAGAAAAAAATTTTAAACACAGTGTATAGGTACATCTATGTTGTTACAAATGAAGGAAATTCTTTATTTTTGAAGGCTGAATGGTGTTTTATTGTGTATAGTTAATATTTACATATACTGCCAAATTGCCAGCAAAGTAGATTTTAAATAGTCTCGCCACAAAAATAATTAGTGTATAAGGTAATATTTATGTTAATTATATTGAGTTAATATTTCCATAATGTAAATATGTATCAAAGCATCACATTTTGGCCCATAAATAGTTTTGCTTAGTATTTGTCAGTTCAAAATAATTTTTTTTTTAATGAATGAATGGGTAAAGAGAGTTTGTTCCATCCAGGCTTCATGGCCCATCTTCAGTGAGGTCTGCTTCCTTTTTACTTTTTCATGTGGACTTCTAGAAAAGATTTTAAATAAAGGTGTCCGTGACAAGAAAAAGAAAAACGAAACAAAAACTGAAGCACAACATTCTGACAAAATAAGCATGTTGTCTTTTTATTAGCTGGGTTGCTGTATGGCTTTTTCAATCACCCCAAACCTTTGAAAGATCTGTTTTACCTGTTTTGTCTCTTCCAAAGGCCATTGCCCAGAGATGGCATTTTATAAATACATGCCTTGCAGAATGATAAGCTACAAATCTTATTTCAGTTTGTTCTGATATTCATAGGTTTCATCGAGTACTCTAAGAACATGTGAGTGTAGATATTTTAAAATGCCTGTGATAAACAAGAACAAGACATTACAAAATGAAATACTTGACTTTATACATACTGCTTAACAAGAAAGAGCCAGTAATAATAATAATACATCACACGCACACACACACACGCCTTTCTAAAACTTTTTCTTGTAAGCCATAGATAAATTATAATCTATCTCAAATCCTGGAAATTACATAAATCAGCTTTTTGTATCTACATGGACAATTACTTGTTTGTTGAAATAACATGAAGTAATTGAAGAAAAGATAATTATTTAACAAAATATTGTTTTGATGTATGTTAGCACCAATAAAACATTTTGAAAATATCTAGAATTTTTAGATAACATAAAACTCTAGTTTTATCTGTGAGCTATTACAATTGCTACATGGAAATTAGGAATATTTTATTTGTGCCCACAAAAATGTACTGGGTACTTATTATCACTTCTGTAATCAGGCTATCTAAAGTTTATACTACTTAATGATGTGTTTATTTCCAGTCATGGTTTTGAGATCATGGGCATAATCTAAGATTCTCTATTTCAATTATAGAATAGGTATCTGTCACAATTCGTAGCAGACTTGGTTCTGTCTATTCAGTCATGTCCGTTCAATGTTGACTGCTTCCTGTGTCATGATTTGGGTGTAAACCAAATAATCTTTTTCTATTTTTTGTCTATTTTTTTTCAAGATTTTGCTGAAAAAGAAAGAGATAGACCCTCTTGAATTAGATTTCCTGCTTCGATTCAAAGTTGAACACACTTACTTGAGTCCCGTTGACTTCTTAACTACTCAGTCATGGAGTGCTATTAAGGTACATTAGGAATGTAGTTTCTCTACTTCTAAATGTTTTTCAAATATTGTATCTCCAATGTAGAAATACAAGTTTAAAAATGCAAGTAATCTATTGGACACCATTTCAGTTGTAGAAACATGGTATATAATGTGATGTTCTTTCATTAATCTTTTTTTCATTGAATTGGTTAATTTCCTATTGGAAAATAAAGGAACTTTTTACCTATTTTGTGGGCGGAAAATTACTAATAAATATGAATGGTCTGTCAGGACCCTTGATGAAAGTCAACTGATATAAATGAATTTTTTCAATTTACTTAAATCTAATTTTTCATTCTGTTTTTTGTTATACTGTATTTCTCCACCTTTTCTAAACATTTTAAAATTCCACATCAATGCAGATTTTATCCTCATTATAAAATGTTTAAGCAAAGCAGACTATTGTAGAGAAAAAAGATGAAAGTCACTTTTTAATCCCAGTTATCAGTCCTTATTCCATTTTCCTGTCAGAAGCCCCTCTTGTTAAGAGTTTATTCCCCCCAGACTTTGCAGTTCCTGAAAGATATTCACCATAAGCTAAGCTTTGTCTCATTCTTTTTTTTCCTCATTCTTCATTCTAAGAAGAAAACATTTCTATCCATTGAAAATATGCTGTACTTTATTTTTAGAATATATTTAGATTTTTTTAAGTTAGTATTTTTAATTAGATTATCATCTTAGACTTATGAATTCAATGCCAAATGTGTTATCAGTCAGGGTCTTGGCAGAAAATAGATGACACATTTGAAGAGATGATGAGGAAAGTTTAATGAAGGCTATATTTTCACAGTATGAGCAAGAAAGATAAAGGAGTAAACAGGAAGGAGAAGGGAAAGAGAGAGCAAGGAAAAGTTACTGGTACCACTGAGAAATGAAGTTAATTGCAGACAGCCAACCTATAGGAACTGTTGCACTGGGAGAGGAACATACTTAATGTCACACCATGTCCAAGTTGGCGGGCGGGGGGAGCACCTGGCCTTTCCTCTAGCTCCCCAGTGTTTTACCAGTGCTTCCCACTGGCCAAACCAACTGGCAAGAGAATTGAGGAGCTTAATTTCAGGTGTCCTTAAAGATCACCCTCTAAGCAGGACAGGAAAGGGCAGAGAGTAAATCTGGAGAGGAAAGTGAAGGCTATCCAGCACAGTTTGTTTACATAGGATCAGATCATTCACAAGTCTTAATGCCAGAAGCTATTATTTATAGCATTCTCATCTTTTTCCCTATTGCATTACAGGCCGTTGCCCTTATGGAAGAATTTCAAGGCTTAGACCGAGATATAGAAGGATCTGCCAAGCAGTGGAGGAAGTGGGTAGAATCTGAGTGTCCCGAAAAAGAAAAGTTACCTCAAGAATGGAAGAAGAAAAATTTAATACAGAAGCTGATTATTTTGAGAGCAGTGCGCCCTGACAGGATGACATATGCTCTCAGGTAGGACAGCTGGCATTTTTAGAAAGCAAGTTAACATAGAGGGTTAAGAGTGTTTAGTAGAAGTGCTGACTGTCCCTGTTGATTAGGAGTGAGTCTGCTGAGATTCTCACATTTTAATCACTGCTGCTGTCAAAGTTTGCTGAACACTAAACAGTGTGCTGCTAGTCTACAGACAAACTCAGCACAACCTTCCTGAAAAGCTCAATTCAGAAATCAGGAGGGGACTTGGAGAAATGGGTGTCAGCAGAGTTCAGAGGCCAGGAACATCTATTATCCAAATGTAATTTCCATCATCTTTATTCAGTGGTAGCATTTGACTCTAAAGATTTTACATGTCAAACAAAAAATGAATTCCTTTCATGGAGCCACTCATAGTCCTAAAACTTTGCAACCAATGCAATTTAATAACAGAAATCCTTATCTACATTCTGGTTCCAGTGTCCTCTTTTCTTTGCCCTCTTGGCTTCTAAATGGTAATATACTGCTTAATTCACACAGGTCTCATTCTAATGTGAATCACCAACCAAAGAGTTCAAACTTCCTTCCCTATTGTGCACCTCTTTCTTCAGTAATATTCATGTGCCTCAGTTTTTTCCTCTGCTTTATTTAGTTCAGCCAATTTCCCTTTTCCAGAAACCTCTGCCGAACCCTACTTTACAAGTTAATTCTGCTTAGTAGTACTTACTTTCTGCTAAATCTGATGCTGCGGAAAATAATCCTTGCTTAATTGAGCTTCCCTGTGTTAGAAACACCCCAAAAAGCATTTGTATATTCATGAGAAGCTCAGCAGGCTGGAAAATTGCACTGTGGCAAGGCTAATGAACTGTTAATAAGTAATGGGGGAATCTGGCAGGGGATTTGGGGGATACAAAGCCATACCACAGGCCAGGCAGCTGATGGTACTCAGAGGGGGATTCTCAGCCCCCCCAAAGTAGAATATAGGCTTCTCATTTTGATTTTCTCAAGTAGCAAGAGATTTCATTGATATACCTCCTGTGTAAATCTATGTGGATTCATACTGACATTCTAAAAAGATGCCCCATATAATAAACATGGTTTACTTCTGTCCAGTGGCGTGGTTTAAGCTTATCCAACTGGTAACACTTTTCAAAGTCAAAATCAGTGATCAGTTTTTTGCATATTCTTTTTTATAGAAATTTTGTGGAGGAAAAACTTGGTGCAAAATATGTGGAGAGGACCAGATTGGACTTAGGTAAAGCACTGGAAGAAAGCAGCCCAGCCACCCCAGTATTCTTCATCCTGTCCCCGGGGGTGGATGCCCTTAAAGACCTAGAGATGCTTGGTGAGTGGCCAAGAGGTTTGCCGGCCTGCCCTTCTTCCCTCCCCTTCACCCACTTCCCTTCCTTTCTGTTCACGGTTATCCTTTTTTTCATTTGTTGGAGATCTGGTGTATGGAAAATGTAAGACTAATAACACCGTAGTCTGAAGAAATGTTCAAACAGAACATTCATCTGGTTGGCATAATGCAAGTTTCTTTTGTACTGTTTTCCACCTTTTGACTAAATGAGGGCCAGAGGGCAATTTTCTCCATGCTCATGTAATCTTGTGCCCCCTGTGACTAAATAATGGTCATTAGAGCAAGTATATTCGATTGTGCAAGGCACTGTCGCTTTGTGCTCTGGATTACTATTCCCCACGGCCTACACCAGGAATACCAGGTTAATGTAGCTGTGACCTGACTGTGCTCAATTTAAACGCAGCCTCACAAGGTAAGAGCTTGTGCATTTACCCAATGAACTGTTCCTGTTCAAAAAATGATGTGATATCTACCACATGTTGCTCCTTTTTATGAGGGAAATGCTTTGCTACTCCTGCAGGAGTTTAGAAAGCTCCCTAACAATGCTGCCATCTATCAAAATGTCAAAAGCTTCATTATCATAAAACCAAAGGAACTGACTTCCACAGGCTTTCCTGATGCTTTCAGGGTAGCAGCTGTGGAGAGCTCAAAAAGGTTTCTTGTGGAAACAACAGAAGTCTAGTTCAGATACTTCAGGAGAATGGCCTCAAAGTAACAGGAGTGACCTCAGATGTGTACACAACAGATCTCCAATTCTCTTCACCTCTCTGCCATTGACATTTGCCTTCACTGGGTTGTATTTCCCCACAGGCAAAAGACTCGGGTTTACAATTGACTCGGGAAAATTCTACAATGTGTCTTTAGGACAAGGTCAGGAAAAGGTGGCAGAAACGGCACTAGAGAAAGCTTCCAGAAGGGGACACTGGGTCATACTGCAAGTGAGTATTATGTTTCCATGAACAACACTGGGTATGAACCCACAGGCTTGTCAGTGCCAAGCACCCTGTCCAGGGGTGAAGGTCCCTTATCACAACGCTGCAGTTTGTGGAGCCCCAGTGTTTCTTTGGGCTTTCATGAGGTCTCTAAAGGTGTTGAGAGATTCTATTAATAAGGATGGCTTTCATCTTTGGAGAAACCATCCACAATTTGAAAATTAAACATTATTAGGAAGAATTCCATGTTCTGACTTGCATGAATCTGGACCATTCCAATCGTGCTTGAGAACAAATAGGCTTGTAGAGCTTGCTACATTGTTATTGTAGTATCAGGCATAAAATCGATCTGATAGCTAAAATTAAAATAATAGGTTGATTTATTGATATTGAAATTTGAAAACGAATTGAGGACATTGAAATTGTGCACATTGCTTACAATTCACAGAACCATTTTCATGTATAATTCACAAAACCATTTTTGTGTGTATGTGTGTGTCTTATACAACCACTCTACCTCTGCCCCTAAGTAGTTAATAGCATTCCCTTTGTTTGTAAATTAGACAGCCCCTTTACTCCTTCCCTAGGTCTGTGATCCTACAACCCAGTGTTTTCTGGGGTGCCCCCCTTAACTGGAGATTGTAGCAAGAGCCCAGTAACCCACAGAGCCCGGGCTGACTCTAGGCCTCCTAGGAGCTGTGCTGGCTACTACACCCAGCTGGTGCTAGCCATCAGGCCAGTTGGTTTGCAACACAGTTAGCTCAAAGGTTCTCAAATGAGCAAGTCACAAGGTACCTCATCCCTCAAGAATGGTTCCCAGGTTGGATTCCAGAGTGTGCCTGTGTTCCATGATGGCTCACCTGGAGACTTTTCTGTCACTAACTTCAAAGCCACTGCTTAGAATATTTTTTCATTTGTTTCAAGTGGACTCTTTAAGGTAGTGTTGTGGTTCATAAGACAGAGTTGACATGACTGATATCATTGTTTTTATTGTTTACCTTTATGAGTAGCACAATTAATGTGAGAATTAGTCACATTATGACCTAGTAGCAAGCATGTAGGAAAGGAAACTTAGAGTCCTTACTTCCAGGATTCATTTCTATGGCTGCTAAACCTAAGCATCACAGACTGGGTGACTTACGCAGTAAAAACTTAATCTCCATAATTCCGGACATTCAGAAACCAGAGGTTGAGTTTAAGGTGACACAGGCTTGGTTTCTTCTGAGGCCTTTCCCACAGGGTAGTAGGGGGCCACTTTCTCCCTGTGTCTTCATATGTGTTTCCAGGTCCCACTCTCATCTAACCATATTTAGCCTAACTACCTCTTTAAGGGATCCTATCTCCAAATACGGTCAGTTGTAAAGTACTAGGACTTCACCCAGTGAATTTTGGAGGGGACGTGATTCAGCTGGTGATACCTTCCAATGTTCAATATTTACCTTGGGAATCAAATTCTAATAATATGAACAACTGAATTGGCATAGATACTTTTGCAAGAGAAATTTCACAAAATACCTACATTACTATTCCCATCCTTGTTGCCCTTTGTCCTCTGTGTTCTTATAGTTGTTATCATTTTAAATGTTTTTCTTTGTTGGAAATAATTACATTTCCCTGGCTGTGATGTTCCAATTACTGTATCAAGAACTTCTTTAAAGCAAGAGAGCACATGAGATGCAGTCTTTATGCTCTATCCCTGCACCAGTTACCAAGTTTTGTCCTGGATGTTCATTGTTCAAGGAACAAACATCTGCATCATAAAACTGAAAAGCAAAAAATGGTGATGGCAGTGGCATTTCTTTGTTTCTTGATTTATAGCAATTATCAGATATAAGAAAAATAATATGCTAGAAATACATGAGCATCTTAACAATGAATGATTACTTTCTTTTTCACCAAGTCTTTCTTCCCTTCTATTCTTCTGAGTCCATCTGTTACGAGTAGGAATTTATGTACAAGTGGTTTCCATCAGAAAGAATGAAGTGGGTGATCAGGTATACTTCTAGCTTTTAGTTGTTTTACTTTGTTAAACTAACCCAGGTATGTCTCATTCATTGAGTTTGAACTATTCTACTACAAAGAAAAGTATTAAGCAACTCCAACTCAGTGGTGACCAGTGAGTGTTTGAAGTAGATACATGTATTGGCAGGAGATGTTGGTTTACAACCTGTGGTGATTGGGAGTATTGACTGTGTTCAATGTTCACTTCTGTTTGAGCCTTTTTTTCTTTTCATGATTTGATAATAAAGGAAAATTTAAGTCATGGTTCTCTGAATGCTCAACACATTTACATATAGGAGAATGTTGTAATACTACACATAATTCAAGTAATACACAAAAATTTCCCAGAAATCATAAGCCATATTTCTTTCAGAATGTCCACTTGGTGGCCAAGTGGCTAGGAACCTTGGAGAAACTCCTTGAAGGATTCAGCCAAGGAAGCCATGAAGATTTCCGGGTGTTTATGAGCGCTGAGTCTGCACCTACACCGGATGAGCACATCATCCCTCAAGGACTCCTGGAAAATTCCATTAAGATTACCAATGAGCCTCCCACAGGCATGCTAGCCAATTTGCATGCTGCCCTGTACAACTTCAATCAGGTAAGAAAGCAGAAGTAACCTGGGCTTCAATGTAGATCTTCTCACAAGATTACAGAGACCATCATCAACTCATGTATGTCACTGAGGGAGGTAGAGTAAAATCTGTGTGTGTACACGGATGTGCATGTATGCATGATTGTGTGTATATTTTAGTTTCTTGAAAGAATTGCCCCTGTCATTCCCTACACCAGTGATAGTGAACCTTTTAGAGCTTTCAATGATACAAACAGCCCAGCATAGGTTCACTACCACTGCCTTGGTCTAATTGAGACAGATTAGAAATGGCCCAACTCTTCCCTTATCCCTCTAGTAAGAGCCAGAAGAGGGTATGTTTTGATTGCCAACTACAGCTGGAGCTATCCTGGGTGTCCTGCTTCAGACACTCTGGAAGGTGTCTACCCTGACTGCTGTGGCCTTGAATTTGAACAAAGTAGTAGAATTGAATTTAGGCCAATCAGTAAGTTCGAATCAGAAGACTTGAGTTAAGACCAATTTGGGCCAATCGCAAGGCTCAAATTTGGACCAATCACTGGCCTGCTCCTGTTACATAAGAGGCACTCCTCTCACATTTGCCAGGTTAATCTATAAGGGATCCCTCTTGGGTACCACCACCCTATGATACAGCACAGGTCCTGTTCAAATAAAGCTTCACTCCACTGGTTCTACAGGTTTAGTCATAACTTATTTCTTGGACAGTGGGCTCAGAGCAACTGCCATTTACTGGCAGCAACAGCAGAGACCAACAACTGGCAAGTTGACTGATGGGGATTAACTACTGTCCATGAATGGCATCATCTAGCAGTGGCAGAGAGTGGCAGCATCAGTCAACAGCCCAGGGCCCATGGCTTTAACACTAAAGGCTGAGGGATACAGTTGCTCAGAGTTCCAGAGGGCTGGGGACCACTGGCAACAACTTAGAGCCTGGAAGTGTTAACATTGAGCTGCACTTTGCTGGTTCATGATTTCTGTCAAACTTGAGCAAAGGAGCCCTCAAACAATTAGCAATATAATGACTGCCAAATACATTTAAGTTTTATACTAAAACTAAGAAATCTATAGTCACATGTGTAGGCTGAACAAGTGTACTTTTTGAGGCTGCTGCTTCTGAAAGGTGAATGTGCAGAACCAGTATCTCTTAGGATAGAAAGAAGAGCCCTTGTTATTCTTATGGATATTGATAATGACAGTCACATGAGAGAAATTTAAGTTTTAAGTACAGCTTTGATATTAGTAAATTCAAAGTCTCTCTTTTCAGGTTATATCCATGATACTTTCCTGTTTATATTTTCATTTCCTTTCCAAATGAAACAAATTAATTACTACATACATAAGTTAATGATAGCCAATAACTATTTTTCTCTTTTTTAAATTATGGTATCTATAACATTATCAGATCTTCCAGTTTCCTTTTTTGTTACTGCTCTGAGTTCTTATTTCTTTTCCTAGTTTCTTGGAAATCCTTCATAAGTAGTGCTTTTATTAAGAAAGTACAGTGAAGCCCAGTGTAATGGCCCAGGCTTATAATCTTGGCACTGTGGGAGGCTGAAGCAGGAGGATCACAAATTAGGGCCCAGCCTGGGCAACTTGGCAACTTAGTGCAAGTCTGTCTCAAAATTTTTTTGAAAAAGGCTAAGGATGTAGCTCAGTGCAAAAGCCCTGGGTTCAATCCATAGTACTGCAAAATAAAAAAAGTTCAATGAACCCTCAAGAGGAAATATACATGATTGGGTGATAAATATTCAGCCCCCTATTAGAACTTTTATCATTCTCTATGAAGCACACCAACATGGTTCACCTTTTCTCTAGTACTTTTTGACCCAGTACCCAAGCCAGCATCATGAGGGAATTATAATAATTGGTCACCTCAAAAATACAGTATTGAAGAATACATTTAATTACCTAATCAAATAATTAATGTATGGCTTATACATACAGAAGTCTGTGTAAACAATAGGCACTTAAAAAGTCTTGTCGAATCTTTCAAATACTTACAATATATCTGCACAATGGCAGACATAAATTTGTTTTTACCATCTTTTTTTTTTTTTTTGGTACCGGGGATCAAACTCAGGTCCTTGCGCTTGTGCACCAGGCAGCAAAACCACTGAGCTAAATCCCTGGCCCTACCATCTTTTAAAAGTTATAATTTTCAGACACTTGTGAAACGAAAGTTTCAAGTTCCTTCCCAAAATACGAATACATTCTTCTAAAGCAGTTGTCTTTATACAGAAACAAATTTTCCTGCCCCTTCCCCAATTGTCCTTCAGCTATTCTTTTTTTTTTTTTGGTGAAGACGTCTTTGAGAACCTGACAAAACTTTGGATACTTGGGCTAGGGAAATGCACATTCAAAAATACTATATTGCATATGATGACACAGATTTACAGATCCATCAAAGCCTATACATGAATGCCCTAGTTAACAATACCTGTTCTTGTCTGTTCATGACAGTGTTACTTCTTTTGACTGCTATCTATTAAGTAAAGGTTGTATTTATTGGAAAGATACTTAAGAACTTTAGGAAGGAATAGTTCTTTCTAGTGGAAAGTTTACTCTTAAGTATTAAGACCAAATGTCGTGTAGCAAAAGCAAAGATAATCCAAGTGTTTCACTAATCTTCTCCACAAACCTATTTTAGCAAAAATGTTACAGTCCTCTATGAATGCTGAATTGTTGTTATGTTAGAAAACAGAATGTAGTCTTTAATTTAGAGTATGTAATTTAAGGGTATTTGCCTGTGCCCCTGGATATCTGTAAATAGATTTCCAGCACACTGTGATTGATTAGAAGTATAGGTAGCTGCTTTGGAAAGAAATGCTTAGGAAATAACAGTTGCTTAAACAAGGTTAAAAAGTATTTCTGCTGCTTGAGAGTTCTAGAAGATAACTCTCCCAAACTCATGTCACCCAAAATTGTGATCAACCTAGCTCTTTACAGTTCACCATGGACTGAGGCAGCTGTAAGATTTTCAGTCCCCATATCCATGTTATCCAGAGAGAGGAGAGAGGGGGGAAAAGGGAGAGGGGAGGGGGGAGAAAGAGAGAGAATTTCCTGTACATATATACCTATGATAAAGTCAATAATGCATAAACAGCACAGTAAGGGATTAACAATAAAAACTAATAAAATAAAAACAATTATAACTATGTATGCATAGTTATACTGTGTATACGTAGCTGTATATAATACATAGTTCTTTCATCTTATGGTCAGACTTAATTGCAGTGTATTACCTAGCTGCAAGAGAGGCTGGGAAAAATTAAATTTATCATGGGCAGATAAAAATCAGCAAAGAAACATTTTAGAGGAGATAACAAGTGTTCTCTGTCAGATATGTTCCTTTCTAAAAAATCTCTTTGTGTCTTCCTAGACATTCTGCATTGCTTCCAATCTTGCCAAAGTCTGTGAAATGATCAAAGAGGGATAAGTACTATATATCTACCTTGTTGTCTACATAAATTAGGTAAATGAGACCCAGTTATTTCTGTTTCCCCAGGGACTCTCTTACGTGAGAAAAAACCCAAGAGATCTAGGCAAATCAATGTTGTGTTTGGGTATTTTTGTTTTCCATGCTTTAGTTTTCAAATCAAAATCTGTAATAGTAATCTTTCCTCTCAAATTAGAAACTACCTCCAAACTTTGGCAGGTATATTCAAAATAAAGTTCGTTAATATTAATGATTTATTTTCCCCAGCACTTTAGAATATTTATGTCAATATGATCATTAAGTGGCCAAGATGTTAAGACACGTATTTTGTGGGATGCTGGCAATCTGTACTTCTTTCAGCTCAATATATCTGCTCTGTGAAGATGTCATAAGGAGTACTGTTTGGGCCCTTTTCATACAAAAATAACCATAGTTTTCAGAATAAGATACAGATTTCTTTTTCTGTGAAATCTTCAGGCAGAAAAAATGGTAATTATGCATGTAAAGTTGGAGGCTGTGTGCGATATAGCAGGACTATGTCTGTTTAGATGGTAATTTCTGTTCAAAGTGATATTTGCATATCTTCTGATATTGATTTCCTCATTACTTGGTTTCTAAAAATACAACTGACCTGAAGTATGAAATGGTATGTTGATTCAAACTTTTTCTTTAAAAAGCCTGATTCATACTTTGCTCCAATTTTAAGTTATCAGGGCACAATGAAATGAACATTCACTCGTGGTTTTTTTAGCATTCAAGTAAATTATATGCAAGAATATATTAAATTAATGTTTTTAGTTTTTACAGTATCTTTGGTTTTATGTGACCTATATGTAATTGACGTAGCTGTTAAGTATCTTGTTGGACCATAATTCTGGTATGAAATTTTGATGCTTGATATTGGTTCTCCTAGAAATGTCCTATATTTGAAAGTAACCTTTTTAACATCTTTCAAGGTTAGTAATAGTTATGTGATTTTGCTTTTCTTCTTCCACAGTCTTTCCTTTTGTTTGAAGTTTAGTTGTGAAAAAGTTGTTTTTGATGATTGTACCTTGAATGACTGTGATATTTCCTGTGATATTTCTGGAAGTTACCTGAAAACGGCCTAGTGATTTCAATAGTTCTGCACTACATGCAGCTTGACATTCCCTTGGAAATTCTATAGCTGTGTTTGTGAAAGCCCTGGATTCTGCTGAAAGCCTGACAAAAAGAAATGAAATATTCTTCTGTTCTTGGCCCACAGAAAGAAAATCCTAGTGTTGGTTTAGTATGAGAAGTCCCTTGGGCAGATCAGAACTGGACTCTTTTCCCCAAAAGTCCTAAATACATTTTATATATGGCCCAAGTTGTCAGATCCATTTTATTTTATTTATTTATGTTTTGGTACCAGGGATGGAACTCAGGTCCTTGAGCTTGCGCAGCAGGTGGGGAAACCACTGAGCTAAATCCCCAGCCCCATCAGATCCATTTTAAACATGAACTGGCTGTGGTTTGACCTTCTTAAAGACTGGACTGGAAAATGCAGATGTTGGCCCCATCTTTCCCAGATACAAACGAAAGGATTGACTAGACC